CGGGTCCGTAAAGCTTCGCCTGATGCCCGCCCTGAACCTCGACTCCCTGGCCCGACTCGATCTTCTTGAGGTTCGCGACCAACCCAGCGGAAGCCTCAAGCGCTTTTTGGCCTTTATCTCCCTGACCCGGCCTGGGTCTATGCCACAACACCTTGACGTGCCGACTCCCAAACACCGCTTCGTCCGATTTCCAAGCTTTGTACGCATCGCGATTGTTGTCAAAGCTGACCAGCGCGCGCTTCGACGACGTCTCAATCGCGACGTTGGTGACTTCGCCGAATTGAGAAAAGTAGTCGCGCACAGAGGGGACAGAGAGATGTTTCGGTGGGATGTCCGTGACGACCAGAGTCGAAGTTTTCTCCTGCGGCGGTCGGTTGGATCCCCAGAAGTCGCGACGGGGGTCGTTGGCGAGGAAAGAAGCGAAGGACGGCATGAATGGCATGAATGGCGCGCCTGGTCCCGGCTGTCCCGGCTGTCCCGGTTGCCCCGGTTGTCCGTGAGGGAACCCCTGCGGTAGTTGAGGGAAGCCTTCCTGACCATGGCCATTCATACCCGCCCCGTTTGGCGGTCCACCTCGTCCCCTCCCTCGACCGCGCCCGACACCACGACCACCACGCTGGAAGGGCATGCCCATGTGACCTCCCGGACCGGGCCCTGGACCCATCTGGTTCATCTGCGCAAACATCATCTCCGGAGTCGGGATGATGACGTCCGCATCGTGCTCGTACGGGCAGTTTACACCCCGCATGCAGAATCCGCGCTCTGACAGGGACACGGGTCAGCTCCTCATCACTCGTCCAGATATTGCGAGTCCAGTGTCGGGCATCGTGACTCACCGTGATAGTCGAAGCACTTTTGGCGCTTTGGTTCGCCCCCGCCCCCACCCCCACCCATCTCAACGTCGCCTCCGGGTTGGCCATTGCGCGGCGGGGCTCTCGACGGGCCTGCGATAGGCTGGGCTGCGGCGGGTCCAGTTGGGGCATTGAACGGAGCGGATGCAGCCGAAGGATGACCCGGAGCTGGCTCTGGTCGATACGATGAGACTAACGCGGGTGCGGCCTGAGCGACAGCCACGGCGGCGGTGGGAGCGGGAATGGGAACAGGAGCAGCGGGAAGGAAGGATTTCGTCTTGAGCGTCTCGAACAACTGATCGACAAAAGGTCTAGAGTCTGATGCGGATGCGTCAGCGCATGAGTACCAGTCGAGCGTGTGGATGTTCGACTCACTGGTATCGAGGAAGTCGCCGAGCTCGCGAGTGAAGAACTGTTCGTCAGTTACGAACCCACCGGTTCACGCACCTCCTTCCACTCCTCCTCTGACATGGTCGCATCGTGCTTCAGCAGCGCGATGATATAGTCGGACATAACCACGGGGTCCGCATCGCACCTGCATTATCAGCGAGCTGGTCCGATGGAAGCACGACCCCCGGAACGAAGAGAGCAGGGATGAACGAAGGATGATTACGGTGGAGAGGAAGAAGGGGAAGAGAGCATGTCCGGGACCGCTCACATCGGCTCGAGGGTTTTGACCAGCCATTCCTTGAACTCGGGAAGGTCATGCAGGTCGTGGAACGGCATGGTCGTCGATGTATTACCTGCTTTGATTTGAGACAGGTGGATGAAGAACAGACGAGACGAGCTTTCAAAGCAAATAGTGACGATTGCTTTGTGCGCGACTTGTTGGTGGGGTTTGATCCCGTCCACAGTATCGTATGTGGCGATGGCTTTGTGGCGGTTCCGCGCAAAAAGGCGAGGACTCAGGTCGACCCCGCCGGGAATGAAGAGGGGAATCGAAGGACAGGTGCGACAGCAAGGATCAGAGAGGAGACGTCGATGCGAACTGCAGTATTCAAGGTGAAGGAGCAGAGACAAATGATCAGGTGGGTTATCCAGTCATGGGCAGTGAGTGATCATGATTGCCGAGAACAACTTGACGGGATGATCGGTGCGGCGACCAGGCTTATGCTGCACCCACCGGCCTGCGCGAATCACAAGAGACGTTTCATACAAAACACGACACGCCTCCACGCTACAATCAGAGTCTGGCGATCCAATATAGATCAAGCACAGTACCTGTCCGGTACGATCACAGCGGTTGTACGTACAAAGACAACGACAACGGATTCTGATCCCTTCTCACTTACGTCCACCGCTCGGGGGGCGGGAGTCATTCGGGATGACAACTCCCGGAATACCTACCAAGGCATCCAAACCGCTCGAGCTCCCCGAAACAGCTTCAGAACCGCCATCACCCGGACCCTTTGCCGGACCCCGCCCCGAACCCGATCCCGCCCCGGTTCCAGACTGCAGGCCCATTGCCTCCTGGCTCAGCATGTCGGCCAGACCTCCTTTGTCCCCTCGCATCATATGAAACATCATCTTCCGCATCATGTCGTCCGCGTAGCCGTACTCCTTTGCCTGCATCCGCAGGACGGACAGACCGTCGGATCGTTCGACCCTCGTCCGTGCGGCTTGCAGGTCCCGCCGGAAGGCGAGTATGGCGGCGTCATCCAGGTCGTCGATGCGCTTGCTTTCTTTCGCCTCGTCGCCTCCCTCCTCATCTTGATCCTGGTCCACCGCACGCTCCTTGCCCTTCTTGGACTTCTTTTTGTTCTTCTTCTTCTTTTTCTTCTTCTTGTCGGTCGAAGTCTCGGACGAGCCCTCCACAGTTTCCTCCTCTTCGTCCTCGCCGGCGTCCTCTGCATCTTCCCCCTTGTCTCCCTCCATGTCGGGCTCGTTGGTGTCAGGTTCACTGTTACCGGTGATCATCGCATCGTTGACGGTTTCCGTTACCTCGTCGAGAGTCTCCGGTTCCTCCTCGATGGTCTCCAGTACCTCGTCCACATGCACGAGGGTCCCCGCTGCTTCCGCCCCCGTGGCTGATCCCGACTGAGAGGAGGTCTGAGAGCCAGGCTGGATCGCCGAACCCTCTGCAACATCCTCAATCCATTGTTCCTCCCTTCCATCATCGTCATCCAGGACACCAGAGCCAAAAATACCTCTCTCGAGTATAGTCCCAAGTGGTCTCGCTCGCTCGTCGAATCGAGAGAAGCTCTCGAGAGGTCCCTCCTCGTCGTCTCCATCTTCGTCCTCATCCTCGTCGGCATCGTCATACTTGAAGAGATCCTCGTCATCATCGTCATCGTCATCTTGCCACATCCACGAGTCGTCGTCGTCCTCATCGTCGTCCGGGCCGCTGGCATACAACCACTTGGTGTTGGTCTCGGGGGGAGAGAGCTTCTCGAACTTCGCGATGAACTCGTTTGGCTCAAAGTGCTTCAGCCAGGGTTCTAGAACCAGGTCATGGGGAGGCATGTTTCGACTGGTATCGGCGTAGCGGTACCAGTGGTTTCCCGGCATGGTGGACGCCGGGCTTTCGAGACTGAACTTGTCGTCGATGAGGACTTCTGTCTCGGCGAGAAACAGGTCGCCTAAGACTGCAAGAGGCAAGTCAGACGACGATCACCCGCTGAGGAGGTGGACCACTCACGCTCTTGGAAGTCACCGGTTTGATCGTACGTGACGAATTTGCTCCACAGGAGGCTGTAGACGAGCTCCCTTGCTTCCTTGATTGCCGCGAGTTGTAAGAGGCCCCCCGCCGCCGCACAGATCAGGCCGTGGTACCTTGCTTGGTCAGCGTGAGACCTTCAGAAGAAGAAACGCACTCACGTCTCGGTGAGACCATTCAGCTTCGCCTCCCATGGCGACATGTACCACGCAGAGGGCCAGTAGGGGGCGAGGTGGACGAGACCCGTGAGGTAGCACCAGGTTGCTTGGGTAGGATCACTTCCTAACAAGGCACTGCTTTGGTGTCAGCCAGGGAAGGTCTCTATATCTATCATGATGTGTCGGTGTCTCGAGTGACGGCCTACTTACTCATCTCCCTGGCGGAAGTGTTCTTGGGCGAAAGCGAGAGCATCCTGCAGTGTGGTGATCTCCCGGTACGCCTTTCGCCACTTGAGCCTTTCGATGATCCCATTCGGCCTGGGTCGGTTGGCCGCCTTGAAAGCCTTATCGACGGCATGCTCCGCGTAGACCACTGCCCGGACGTACGTGATGATTTCCGATTTCGCCGAGAGGTAGAAGAAGCTTTCCGTCGCCGAGACCCATCCGTCGTTCTTGCTAAGCTCGTGCGCGAGGAAGGTATCATCGTCCTCTTCGTCCTCGTGGAAGTGGGCGTCGTCGGTGCACGTGTGGTCTCGCCGATGGATCCGGACATAGCGTTCTGCATCTCGGTAGATCTCCCAGAACGACTTGCCGAGACTGCCGGGGTTAGCCCACTCATCACCTGAACAGGTGATCACCTTTCACTCACTTGTACATCTCGAGCTGATAATACTCCCTCCGCGCCTCGAGCATCCGGTACGTCTCCCCCGGTTTGCCCTTGGGCACCTCCCACATGCGCCACAGCACCTCGGCCGCCGCCGCGGGGCTCTGGGGCAGCCGCTGCGTACCGAGAGTGAGGAGGGCACCCAGATCCTCGTCAATAGAGATCGGCACCTGTTTGAAGGTCGAGGAGGAGGGGTCGTGGTCCTTGGAGAGCTCGCGGAGATGGACTGAGCGCCCCGGGGTGGAGTAGGTGAAGGGGCGACATGGATCGAGCGGAGCTGGGGCGAATGTGGGCATGCCAGGTGGACGTGGTGGCCGAGGGGGAGGCGGGGGAGACGGTGGGGATGGAGGAGAATGGGGTGGGGGAGGAGTTGGTGGAGGAGCAGGCGGAGAAGACATGGTGGGACACATACACTGTATAAAGGCGATGGAGGAAAGGAAAGCAAACGCGCAGTAGGGGCAATAAAGAAACCGGTGTCCAGGTGCGGCGATGGCGGCAACAAATGTCATTCGCGATCTTTCGTCTCCTTCTGACCGTCAGATCCCAGAGCAAGCTTCTGTGAACACCACATACATGTTCAGCCCTCGCATGCATCTCAAGACGTCCTCAGAGGTCCTTCAGATGGCTTGCAACAAGCTGTAGAGGGAAAAAGACGTCGAAGACAAAAAGGATACACTGTAAGGGAATCGAACCCTTGGCAGAAGCAATCGACTTGCCCATCGGCAACCAAACGGTGTCTGGGAAGCTTCTATGTTACCACTACACCAACAGTGTTTTCCACATAAGGTTCTGCAGGAGCCACCACTATCGGACCCGCACAGACCTCCTGTTTCAAAGTCAATCACCGATCAATCAATCCGAACTGTAATCGTTGGGCGCGGTAGCCGAGGCTGCGCATCAGCATCTGTGCACGCCATGCCGGTATCAGGATCAGTGATGTAAGTAGTGATCCGGTCGGCACAGACTGCGCCACCCGCCGTGTCTCCTCCGAGTCTCGCCTCCGCCTTGTGGCGGCGTTGGTTGGCTCCGTCCTTGCTACAACGAGACTTCTGTGCCCGCTGTTCTGCAACTCGTGAGACGCAGCGGTTCGATATACAGGTGCGCTAGCTACGATTGTATCGGTTGGGTGATCAGGACGCCGGAACTGTCTACCGGCCGACCTGCGCTCAATCGAAAGTGGAACCGCCACAGCACGTCCGTCCTCTGTTCTGCCAACAGGCACTACGCCACCACGATCACAGCTCGAGATGACTGCATCATTGAGTCTTGCGCTGGCAATTCGAAGTGGAAGTCGATGAGTAGCTTTCACAGACGGCTGGACGAGTCTGATCGCTCCCCCAAAGGTGATCAAGAGGGAGGATCACTGAGGGCGGGAAGCGAAATGAGGTGAGCAATGATCTCAGCCGGCTCCAGCTGAAGCCACGGTGGCGTCTTGACGGCATGACCTGTGAGGACCGTGCAGTGACGGTTTCGTAGACAATGAACGACGGCGAAGGCTACCGAGACACCTAATAATGTGTGCGTACGAGCAGTGCTCCAGAACAGCGATCTGATGTGTTCTCTTGACGTGCTTTTCATACCCGTGGATTTCATCAAGTGAGAATCAGACACGGAGCTGTAAGCCGAATGAGGCCCGTACTCGAAACTCGCGTCCGAGGGAGGAGGGGGCGACTTGAGGCATGCGGTTCACGTTGCTCCGTCGCACCGGCTAGCACAACAAGCTGAATACCCCACTTTATCCGCCATTCCACGATGCCTGCGGTGCGCAGATCATGACCCATTGATTATTCTCCTGGAAACACCATCACGCATCGCATACAGTGCATAGTGTTGATCCATGTACGGAGGCGATGTCATCGTTGAGCTGCCCAGAACAGTTGCTGTTCGCGCCTTCGGTGCCAATGTCGTAGCTGGGAGCGTCCATTTGATTGCCGTTTTACGCCTCGAAACCGTAGTACATCTCCGTGGGTCCATACGACGTGTCTCCGTGTCACCGTTGAGATCTTCACATTCCTCGATGACCGCACCAATGTACCGTATCTGCTGCACTTGCTCGAACGTCGAACAAAACGGGTCTTTCTTCACGTGGGTGGGATCGTCGAACTGATAACGGACGTGGGACAGAATCGGTGAGTTGTCAGACGGGTGCAGGCCATGCCGTATCACGAGTACGTGGTATCGTGGGCCCAGAAAATGGGGCGGGTGGGAGGAGTTTGCTTGCACCTAGGGAGGGGAGAGTTCCGGGGGGCTTGTACCCGGCATCGATGAGGTTGTACTCCCACCGCAGGATACCTTCGAGCTGGCGGACGACGAAGTACTGATTACGGATGTACGTCCAGGTGAACAACGTGTCGTGCCATGTGGTTGAGTGATGCTTTTGTCCCCGTACTGTCCGTACAACGCGTGTAGGGCCAGGCAATACCTCTCGTCAGCCGGCTCTTCCGCCCGATCACTCACTTCTCCGCTCTCGTCTCCACCTCAAACTCGATCCTCTGCTTCACCGTCTCCGCTTTCTTCTCGCTATCCCACTTGTCATCCATCCTGTGGAACGGCCAGAACTTCCAGAGCATCTCGGCGACCTGCTGATCGCTAGCCTGTCCGAGCAGCCAGGGTCGCGAGCCGTCAAATGTCATACGCAGCTGGGTACGTGGGCCCTGCTTGTACGTGGGCGAACGCGGGTCGTACTCGATGAGAATAGTATGCGAGTGCTCGACCAAGGTGGGGATGGCCTTGGGCATGGAGGTGAATCGTAGCTTGGAAGTCGGGTGGGTCTTGCTTGCGTCGAAACCGCCGTCCTGGGAGAGGGCATCGGTACTGGCGGCAAAGGGTCTCGTTTCGATGGACAGGGTTTCCATGTCTCGCGCGAGGTCGGTCATGTTGAGCGAGCCCAACTCGACAGAGGGAGAAGCCAGGTCGTTTGCAAGTCTTGATTGTGTCGAGTGAGAGGTCGGTGAGAGAAAGAAGGAAAGGTCGAGAGAGATGAATGATCGATGCTCCAACCTTCTGATGGCCTTTTGATCGAAACGGCTCCTCGGCCGGTCGATCAATCAACCCACGCACCGCCGCGTAGCTAGGCCTAGCAATCAACAGCACGACCACCACCATCCATCCGGGTTGCAGCAGTGTGCCGTCTCCTCTCCTCCTCACCCTTCCCGCTGTGAGCTGTCATCATGCACATGCGCTCTGCTTGCTGTCCTTGCGTTGCTATCAACCACCAGCATGCTGTCGCGGTCGGCATTGTGCCACATTTGACGCTCTGGTGGAGGTCAATCCCCCCGGTCCCTCGACGCGCTGTTCGGCTGGCTATTTGTTTCAACTTCTCTGACCCTCACCATCTCACTCTTGATCACCTGCTACTCCACCTTGATACCCAGCACAGCTACATACCCCGGCCTCGCAGATACCACACAAGTAGCACCTCGCGCCTCTTCTTATCCCCCATCATGACCCGCACCCTGGAAGACGACACCGACCCGACCTACACCCATTTCTCTCACCGCGCCGAATTCCTCGCACACCTCGCCGACTTTCTCTCCCTCGACCTATCGCACGACCCATCAGAGTCCGAACAGGAGCATGAGGAGGGACTTGTGCGGGCAATGGGAGCGATCGTGAGCACACAAACAGCTTGACATGCTGATCCCAGCTCGACCATTACTTGCCTCTACCTGGCCTGCTCGACCCTTCACTCGACGAGATCGTGCCTCCGCTGATGACGGCTTTGTCCTCCTCTCTCGGCCGTCTGTCTGAGTCCCAGCACGTCTCTGCGAGTCGACTGTGTCGCTTAGGGAGAGTGATCAACTGGGTGGTCAAGGTTCGAGGGTGGAAGGCGATAGGTGAGTCCTGTGGGACGTCCCATCACTGACCCCAGTCCCGCACTTCCCTTCGTCCATATCGCATCTCCCCATTCTCGTGTCCCTTCTGTCCCCACCGACAACCCCGTCCACCTCCTCGACACCTATCACTCCCCACCACCCTCTCATATCCTCTCAGGCCGCGTGGGAGCTCCGCGCGGTCCTTCTTCTCTGGCTCGCACTGCTCCTCACCGTCCCGTTCTCGCTCTCGGCTCTTGGCGCCCCGTCACCCCTGCCTCCCGCCGCGTTCCAGATCGACCTGCCGTCATACCGCCGTCTCTTTCCTACCGAACTCGCACCACTGGGGGAACGAGTAGTGTTGCTCGCTCTGCAGCTCCTACATCGACCAGGAAAGGAAGGCGCCTACGCCGCACTGGTCCTGGCAAGGATCTACTCTCGCACAGACGCTGTCGTCGGTCTTTCCGGGTTTCTCGACTGGGCGGGGGACGAACTGCACGAAGGCGAGCGCGAGGGGGAAGCCAACTTCGTGGCGAGTCTACTGGAGCTGCTGGCGCTGTTGCCCGGGATGTTACCACCAAAATACCTTGGGGAGATCCACACGTTCACCGAGGAAAGGCTGCTGCCGCATTTGAGAGGAGGCAGGACGGCGGCGAGTAGCGGACTGGTGCGTAAACTGGCGGTCAAAGCGAGGGGCAGGTGGTGGATTGCGAGGTTATCTGGTGCAGGTGGGTTCTCCGCTGGACCGGGCTTTAGCTGATCCAAGACATGCCCGAGGGGCTCGAGGACGCGCTGGACGACTTCATGTCGGGTCTCAGTGACAAGGTGAGTCTGACGACGTGACTCCCGCTGATTCCCAGGACACCATTGTGCGCTACTCTTCCGCCAAATACCTCGCTCGCATCACGGGGCTCCTCCCTGCCGAACTCTCCGAGCAGATCGTTCTGGCGACGGTTGGGTTGTTTTCCGGGACAGAAGACGAACCCGTCATCGAAACTTCCTTTGGAACCGTCGTCGATCCCGGCGGCTCGCCCGTTGGCGGTATGATGGGTTTTGGCGGCGCCGAGACTGTCCGAGGAGAGGCGCGATGGCACGGCGTCTGTCTCGCCGTCGCGGAGATGGCTCGTCGGGGACTGCTCAAGCACGAGGCGATCGGCGAGGCCGTCAAATGGGTGCTCAAGGTGAGTACACATACAAGATAAGAAACTCAGCTGATGGATCCCAGGCTCTGACGTTTGACCTCCGGCGCGCATCTCACTCGATCGGCGCGAACGTGAGGGACGCAGCGGCGTATGTACTTTGGAGTCTGTCTCGGGCTTGTCCGCCGGACGAGCTGCGCCCGTACGCAGACGACATGGCGACGGGGATGATCTGCGTGGCGTGCTTTGATCGCGAGGTTGGGGTTCGCAGGGCCGCCAGCGCCGCGTACCAGGAAGGTGTTGGAAGGCTGGTACGTGTACCGTTATGGAATGGATGAAGGAGGACTGATCGATTCAGGGCTTGTACCCAGAAGGCATCGACGTTCTCGCCAAGACGGACTTCTACTCTGTCAGCGTGAGGAGGATGGCGTTCACACTGGCCGCTCCGGCCGTTGCGCTGTGAGTGTCACGGAGGACTGCATACCGTCAAGCCTGAGCTGACCTGCAGACACCGAGTGTACCGTGACAGGATGCGGGGTCACCTGCATCACATCACTCTGAGACACTGGGACACGGCGATGCGGACTCTGGGTGCTACCGCGCTCAGAGATCTGCTCGAGTTAGGGACCGAGGAGGACATGGACGACTCGATCGCGCGAGAGGTGCGTGGCCCGCAACGCCCAATGTGGCTGACAGGTAGATCATCGAACTGTCATCTCTCGACGCTACAAGCGCGCACGGTGCTCTCGCGGCATTGGAACAGATTTCAACGACTCTCCACGAGGGCGATGCGCGGCACCGGAAGGTGAGTGCTCGGCATGAG